ATCTAAAGAAATCATTATAAAAGTGGGTGGAGCCCATCCCTCCCTCCCCTTCGGTAATGCTTTGCTTCATGTAGTAGGATCTGCCAAGTAGATCTGTGTTAACACGCTTGGTTTTCTGAAACTTTTTTAAAATTGTTTCCCAGAGGGCAGCTGTATTTAGAAAGACTCAAGTATTTGCCTTGAAAATGCCTCACCAAGCAAATCGAGACCATTCACAGAATAAAGACTAACTAAAAATGGAAAAAGGGAACCCTAACACAAATGAGAGGGCAGAACTGATGAACCTGAAACGCCACCATGACCATGTGTTGTCATCAGTGGCTGCCGAGCCCGACATGGGGTGGCCCCGTGAATGCAGGCCCAACTGCTCCCTGCAGGGGCCGCTCGCACCCCTGGGACTACGAAAGCTGCCATACCTCAAGCCAAGCCCACTGCCGTCACCATCAGTTCCAACACTTGAGGCTAGAGAGGGCTACCGTCAATCTGTACAAGAGCAGACAGCCTCATCTTTCTCTAGCAGAGCGGCTTGGTGGTTTGAACTGCCAACCTTGTGGTTAAGAGCCCAATCCCGCCACCAGGTGTCACTAAAAAAAATCCTCACTGCCATCAGGTCACTTCTGATTCATAGTGACTCTCTAAGACAGACTAGAAATGGCCCCTGGATTTCCATGGCTATGTAACGAACTCTGCAGGAGTAGAAAGCCTTATTTTCCTCCCACAGAGCAGCTGGTGGTTTCAAACTGCTCACCTCGCAGTTCACAGCCCCATGAGTCACTCACCATGCTACCAGGGCTCCTCCAGGTATCACAGAGGCCTTTGAACCCATCCTTCCCATTTAGGGGCAGCAAAACTGAGATTCAACATGGGATCTGACTTACCAACACATTGTTACTTACCCATCATCCAGAATTTTTAACAAAGCAGAACCTCGGAGAACTGCTAGTCAGATAACCCATGTTCCCTATTTTAGAGTCGCAGGGTGGCAACTCAGTAAGGGAATACCAGATTGAAAAGGTGGGGCGGTTCAAAAACAGACCAGCAAAACCGTGAACTGGACTGGCATTCGAGATTAAGACTTCACGGCCATTACCAACGAGCGAGGGGACAAGGCCGCAGTGCTGTGGTGGCATGCTCCAGGTGTGCACAGCTGATCAACGGCAGCAGTGGGGCTTGTACTCAGTACACGCCATGTTCATAGAGGCTGCCTGATACACCGGCTAGAGCTGTCCAGGATGAGTTTCTGAATTAGAGCTCAGCTAACGTTAAAAGTCAATGTGCATCCCTTGCGTACAAAAGGACTAGGGAATATGAGAGAATAAGACCAGAACCATGTGACTGCCATAGACAAGCTATTGACAGAAAAAGGAGAAACATCTTTCCTGTGTAGTTAACTCCAATGTTAGAGACACTATTATTCTTGGTTATTGTGGGCACCTGCACTCTCTTTATGGATAGCCGGTGTCAGGAAATGCACACTGCACTAGGAGTTTTGAAAGTGTCGATTAAAAAGTTTGTTGGCCAACAGTACTTGAACTATCTACAGGCTTTTCTTTCTTTTTTTTGTCATTGATTTTTTGTTGTTTTTTCTTTTGTTGCCTTGTTTTGCTCTGTCTTGTTTTTGTGCATGTTATGATCTCCACAGGTCTATCTAAATAAAAGAGGCTGGATGAACAATCTGGAGGAGAAAACAATGGGACTTACGGTTCCGGGGGGTGGGTGGACATGGGAGAGGGGGAGGTGGGGGGGAAAGGAAGTGGTGTTAACAAACCCAGGGACAAGGGAACAACAAGTGATCCGAAATCAGTGGTGAGGAGGTTGTGGGAGGCCTGGTAGGGCATGACCAAGGGCAATGTAACCGAGATGAATTACTGAAACTCAAATAAAGGCTGACCATGATAGTGGGACAAGAGGAAAGTAAAAGTAAATAGAGGAAACAGCTAGGAGGCAAAGGGCATTTATAGAGGTCTAAATAAAGGCATGTACATATGTAAATATATTTATATATGACGATGTGGAAATAGATCTATGTGCATATATTTATAGGTTTAGTATTAAGGTAGCAGATGGACATTGGGCCTCCATTCAAGTACTCCCTCAATGCAAGAATACTTTGTTCTATTCAACTGGCATTTCATGATGCTCACCTTCCTGAAGACAAAGTGGGTGCATAAGCAAATGTGGTGAAGGAAGCTGATGGTGCCCGGCTATCAAAAGATATAGCATCTGGGGTCTTAAAGGCTTGAAGGTAAACAAGCAGCCATCTACTAAGAAGGAACAAAGCCCACAGGGAAGAAGCACACCAGCCTGTGTGATCACGAGGTGTCGGAGGAATCAGGTATCAGGCATCAAAGAACAAAAAAATCAAATCATTGTGAATGTAGGGGAATACAGATTGGGGACCCGGGACCCATCTGTAGGCAGTTGGACATCCCCTTACAGAAGAGTCGTGGGGAGGAGACAAGCTAGTCAGGGTGCAGTGTAGCAAAGATGAAACATACAACTTTCCTCTAGTTCTTAAATGCTTCCTCCCTCTCCCCTCCCCCCACACTATCATGATCCCAATTCTACCTTACAAATCCAGCTAGACCAGAGGATGTACACTGGTACAGTTAGGAAATGGAAACACAGGGAATCCAGGACAGATGAACCTCTCAGGACCAGTGGTGAGAATGGTGAGACCGGGAGGGTAGAGGGAGGGTGGAGTCAAAAGGGGGAACCGATTACAAGGATCAACATATAACCTCCTCCCTGGGTGACGGACAGCAGAAAAGTGGGTGAAGGGAGACGTCGGACAGTGTAAGATGACAAAATAATAATTTATAAATTATCAAGGGTTCATGGGGGAGGGGATAGCAGGGAGGGAGGGGGAAAATGTGGAGCTGATACCAAAGACTCAAGTAGAAAGCAAATGCTTTGAAAATGATGATTGCAACAAATGTACAAATGCACTTGACACAGTGGATATATGTACAGATTGTGATAAGAGTTGTATGAGCCCCAATAAAATGATTTAAAAAATTAAAAAGAAAAGAAAAGAAAAGTTTGTTGGCCAAAACAAAACACACCCAACTGGAGTAATTTTCCTCCCTAGCATTTGAGATTGTTTCTGTTGCTTTATTAAAGGATGACTGGTCATTATATCCAAATACAGTTCAATATCAAAGCATTGAGAAAACAGTCACTGGCCGTACACATTCTTAAAGCAAATCAACAGTATCTGCCGGACTCACGGACCATAAACCCGTCATTAACCCCTTATTCCTGCTTACGTGTAAGCTCCTTTAAGGTCTTTCAACACACACCCAAGACAAATTCTCCCATACAATGCCACCACTTGATAAAGTGTATCAAGATGCTATGAAACAAGCTGCAATCATACAAAATTCCACTTTGTCTAACATGTGCTCACAATACACATTTCCTATGATTAAAATGAAATGATTTTGATTCTGAAACAGATTCTCTCCAAAACCGGTTGGTAATAAGCAAAGATCAAAAAGGAAAACCAAATTCGCCGCTGCTGAGTCAATCTGACTCAGACCAGCCCTCCAGGACAGAGTAGAACTGCCTGCTTGGCTTTCCAAGACGCCAAATCTTTATGGGAAGAGAAAGCCGCCTCTTACCTTCCGAGGAGCGACTGGTGGTTTCGAACTACTCACCTTGCAGTCAACAGCCTAACACATGACCAGGGCTCCTTCCAAGCAAAGGCAGTACTATCCTAATTTCATTTTTAATACCCTAATTATAGCAACCCGTGACAGTGATTTCCCTAAAAAAATGGTATTTTCCAAATTTGCCTTACATTTTCAAAAATTCTAGTTAAGTCCATTTTCACCAAGCTAGATGGCTTCCCAGTCGACTCACTCCTGCCATAGAGGAAGGCCTGTGCTGGGGAGGAGGGCGGGCAACGTTTCCCACACTGCACTCAATGGCATGCCCTCTGCTTGGTGTTTGCAGAGCATGTTCTGGCGCGCACTTTGGGACATGCTCGTCTGAACCAAACCAAGTCCCTGTCATGGCAGAGCCACGGTCTCGTCTCTAACCTAATAGAAGCTCTCTTCCCAGAATCTTAACCGGATAAACGCACCCAGAGCTAGCCACCCACATCCATAACTAACCTGCTTATGAGACTGAAACGGAGGATGTAATTTTGAGCTAGCAACCGAGTTGCTGCTCCTCCTACCCACTAGCAACAAAAGGCTCCTGTTATCCTGCACTGGTCCTCAATTTCCTAGGCCATCTGGAGTCGCAAAACAAGTGTGCTTTAACGACTTTCACCCACAAGGACAGAACCCGAGACCCCTGGCTTCCCTAAGATCCAACAGGAACTCGGTGTGGGAGGTCTGCACCCACAAGGACAGAACCCGAGACCCCTGGCTTCCCTAAGATCCAACAGGAACTCGGTGTGGGCGGTCTGACTTGCATGCTAAACATCCGCATAAAGAGACATTTTGACAATGAAATGTGTAATACCTCACTGATCAGACTAACGAGGCCAAATGCCACTAGATTCCTTCCTGCTTGCTTGCCACCTTCAGAACTGTGGAAGCTGCCCCCCAGGTTAAGGAATCTGTCTGTCTCAGGTCAAAGAATGTGCGATGGCCCCATTTCCCCCCTGAGGTATCACACACAACAGAAGGCACCTGGCTGACAGGTGCCGCTGAGCGGATTCTGACCGCTGGTGTGGGCCAGTGTGCAGGGAGAACTGCTCCGTGGGGCGTTCAGAGCAGTGCGTGACCTTGGGAAAGAGATCACCAGGTCTGCCTTTCAAGGTGCCTCTGGGTGGGCAAGTAGTGGAGCGCGTCACGGTGGGAGTTCCGTGGGGACTCTAGCAGGGCAGTCTGTTCTTGCAAGGAGGCCACAGAGTCAATGCCGACTTAGGATTCACAGCTGCTCACGGCCTGTTCAGGGAAAAGAAACTAAACTAACTAGCAGTACCACGTGATGCCACTAGATGGAACTCCTTCAAAAGCTAACAGTAAAACATCTCAAAACGGCAATCCCTGCCCTCTTTTTTAATAGACAAACAAGTGGACCTTTTATTTTGATATTAAGAAGTTAGACTTACACGTTGCTTAACACCATTGTTTAAACGGACTACAAAATAATGTGATGTAGGTGACACACTGCAAACTCTCAAACCATAAAATATCTGAAGGTAGAAACACGTGTCTTCCATAAACAAACAATTTGGTCTAACATTTTCATTTGCTTCTTGGTAAAAAATATATTGGTTTTTTGGCAAAGATAAACCTGTCAAGGCAATGTCACTTTTTGTTTTCAAGTTTTTCTTAAGATTTTCTCAGTATACCTTGTGAATGTGATTAGCTATTATATATATTAAGCAATTGAATAAATACAAATTTGATAAATTACACATAATTTAAAAATTAAATACGTTTCCTAAAACCAATGAAATAAAATCAATGAGCTATGAGATACTCTGCTGTATATTGATTATTTTTGTTCTTTTTAAAAAACTAAAAATTACCAGCACAAATCAAAATAAACAGAAACCTGTGTGGTTTTCCTTTAAAAAGCACTGTGTGCGCACACATATGTATACACAATACATATATTTCTTCAAGAGATCTTTTTTTCATGTTAAGGCTTCCCTGCCCTTTCAGGTTCAGCGGTAAAAGTCACACAACCTGTCGGGCTTTGGATAGACACAAAAGCTCCGAAGTCAGACAGGCCATTCAAATCGAGTGATTAGCAACCAAGGAAGCCAACAAAGGTTCTCAGCCTCTGGGGATCACACCATGAACAAAGCCAATGGTGACTACAGAAGGTTGGGGGCACAAGGGGAGTTGTAAGGACTTGAACTTCAAATAAAAAATTAGCACTGTCGGTAGCAAGAGAATGCCTCGTAGGACTAGCTATCACTTCCCTGCAAACAGACAGAGCAAGAGGACAAAGATAAGAAGAGCGCTCTCTTATAAGAGGCCTCTTGCTGGTTTTGCCTTCATTGAACTATGTTTCTCCTCCCTGGTAAATAGCAAATGAGACCCAAAGAATCTGGGACAGGTTTTGAATGTACAGAAATGGCAAAGGTGGGTGTAATGCCGGGTGTTCCAATACGGACGGAACCTTAAAGGATCATCAGATGAACATGTTGAACAGGGAGACCTCAAAACCCTGAGTCGTCACGGGTGATTACAAGCAGAGAAGGATGGTTGCCTTTTAAAGGCCCATAGCCCTTCCACCAAACACGAGGCAGCAGTTTACAAAAAACTGTTAGAATAACTTGGCTTCTTAAATACGGGGAGCAGCTTTTTAAAACTTCAACGTTTACATAGTGATTGATTTGGGGTTTTTTTGTTTTGTTTTTTATCTTGGTAAGAGAGTTGAGGCCAGAAATATAACTGTAAAGGTTGCTAAAATTTAGGAAATACGTTGGATTTACCTAAACAGTAACGAGCAAAGCACCCTTGCCAAACGCTCAGGTTAAGACAGTTCGTCACTGCCACCGGTAGCGAACACACTTTTAAAAGAAGAATAATCTGCATTATTGTTCACCTCTGAAAGAAGTTGCCTACATGCATTTATCGTAGGCCCCAGAGAGCATTACCGATTTCAACAGCTACATCAAAGGGCCCGCTGGTTTGCTTGCCACCATTTCAATGGCACTGACTCTTCCCCAGGGACATTTATGCCTCCCATTTAGTACTAGTGAGCAGGTGGGATCCAACAGTGAGCAAGACACGAATTTCAAGAGTGTATCTGATTTTCACAGTGCAAGAACAGGAAGACAGAGACTAGAGACAGATTGTCAACGGGCTAGAGTAGTGATCAGACTGGCACACATTTCAAAAAAGTCCATGGTGTGACTGCCCAGGCGAGGTGGGGCTGAGGACAGTGTGCTCCCGGTCAGGGAACCAGCGAGGGGGCCACATGGTGAATGGCTGTCTGCAGTCGCAGAGTCAAAGCTTGATCTGGGTCTGGCTAAGCCGGCGGCAGAACCGGAACGCTGGGGCGTCGAGGAGCCCGACCTCTGCTCCACCACCTCATCTGAAATGGGTCGAAGAACACGGTTTAGGAAAGGCTCACTTGCCAAGCCCCTCTCTGAAGTGGTGATGTTCAGAGTGGGAATCATAAGAGCCACTGCAGGGGGAATTGTCACCCTCCATGTGTCTTGGGAGCAGGAGTGGCACTACCTATTCTCTCCCACATTTCCACACAGCCGAACGGTGGCCCCTAAACCCTTGTAAGCAGACCCGCAAGAAAGCAGGCCCCTGGCTGCTAATTTTCTTACTGTGTATCAACCAAAAAAGGGAGCACAATAAAAACAAAAGCTACCAGCCTACAGTGACTCCGGACCTTCCCAGCACAGCAGACCCAGGGAGCAGGGGTGGATCTCCTGGGTGAAGGTAGCTTCCCGGGGTCACACAGCCCAGCACAAGAGATTTGATTTTGGTAGATATGGGGTGTTTTCAAAACATCTGCATTTTCCCCAGAGCCCTAGGTAATTTTAATGAGAGTCATACGGGAGCCACGGACATACTTATAACGGACAGGAGGCCGAAGTAGGAAATGTGAATACCCTACTTTAAAAGGTCCCAAACTTGAACTCCATTTCTACTCTTGTCCATTCGGGATGCCCCTTGATTCACCCTGTTTTTCTCCCATGTGGGGATCAGAACTGAATAATTGGGTTATCTCACCTGGATTTGGCACACACGAAATACCGAGGCCTGACAACTTCCCTTGACTGCTTTGGCGTGTACATGGGCTCCTAGATTATGCAGAGCCATCCCAGCCCAGACCCCAGGACCAGTCTAGGTAGTCAGATGAGCAAGCGGGGAGCTTCGGTGTTACCATGCTAACAGTAATGGAGTACCGAAGGGGACATGTTACACACAGCCTGAAAACATCAGCTAATTTTGGATAAAAATTAATTTCCTGGTGTACCTTACTTATTCTCCATAGTTATCACTCTAAATTACTTTTTTATGCCAAGGAAGCACACTTCTTTTGGGTAAATTATATTCCATGTGTTTTGGTCTTTTCATTTCACTTAAATTTTTCTCAAATCTAGATTACGTAAGCACTGGCACGGAAGATCCACTGTGCCTTTCAAATTATTTTAATATCTTGTTAACTTACTCACTGATATTATGTCAATTCTGACCCAAAATGCCCCTACAGGGCAGGGTAGAGCTGGCTCGGTGGGTTTCAGAGGTTGGAAATCTTAGGGGAACAGAAAGCCTCACAGAACAGCGAGTGGCTTCAAACTTCTGAATTTAGGGTTAGCAGCCCAAGGCAAACCCCCCTATGCCACCGGGCTCCTAGTGCCTGTTTTTTTCTTTTCACAGTTCCTGCGAGCATAACTCTTACCATCAATGCTTTTGAAGTCTAAGAGATAGCTTCGGTTGTCAACCAGGTAGAGCTGTAGGCTCATTTTCACATAGTTGCCGGTCACGGGATTCCTCCTCCTCACTCGGAGATGGTAGGCATTCACCACCTAAAATGAGACAGTCTCTTTTAAGAAAAAGAGTAAAAGAAGCTAGAAAAACTTTCTTTTCTTATTACAAAGGATATTAATAAAACAGACAACTGATAGACTTGGGGGAGGGAAGGAACTCCTGGATGATTCTTTTTCAATGGCTGCACCTGTGGTTCCGAGGTAGAATTCTTGTCTTCCCGTGGGAGGAATCTGGGCTCACGCCCGTGCCGGTGTACCCCATGTGCAGTTACCACCCACCCAACACTGGAGGCTGTGCGTTAGCTATGACGTGAAACAGGCTTCAGGGGAGCCTCTGGACAAAGATGGACTAGGGGAAAGCCCTGGCGTCCACTTCCAACAATTAGCCAATGGAAAAGCCATGGGCCACAACAATCCAATGTACAACCCGTCATGGCGGTGGCCCGGGAGTCGGTGGTTTGGGTGTGCACCAGGCTGCCAGGACTTGGGGCAGGCTCAATGCGAGCTAGCGACCACTGTTGACTCCATCATGAGAGGGCCTCGGAAAGTTTGTGGGAAAATCCATTACCTTTTAGTTTAATTTTTTCCATGAACTTGTTGAAGCTCCCTCATAGTTGTTTCATCCCCTAAAACTGTAGCATTGTTTTTTGCATGGCGATTAAGCTTTAAAAGGAAGTTAGAGGTGACATAGAATCTAGCTTTCATTCCAGATACACGCCTACTCTACAATACCAATGACTTTGGTTGGCGAGCCTCTGCTTGAATCGCTTCACATAATAAACGGAATAGAAGGAATCAGGGGAAATGACTTATTAGTGGTTTACACCAGACGCCATTTCACAGCTCCTGCCATGAAAGTGAACTTGGCAACAATAATGCAATGAGATAGATATCATCTCTCTTGCTCTCCTTTATTTCTAGGTTCACATTTATATATTTATGCATTCAAATGTTTTATTATGAGCTCTTACAGATATTATTATAATCCATAGTTCCATAGTTCTATTAGATTAAGCATAGTTGTACAATTGCTGACATTCATTCTCAATATATTTTCTTTCTTCTTGAATTGTTTAGTGTTAGCTCCCCTTTATACCCTACCCCTAAACTCCTATTCCATATCATTATTATTTTGCCATAATTCACACCATCCAGTGGACACATTGACCTAAATTCTGAAGCTCGTTTCCCTCGAGTGGGTTACACAGTCGTTCATCTCTTTTACAGATGGGAAAAGTGTAGCAAGGAAAAGGTAACTCTGGGTTTTCAAAAACATCTCACAAATTGGGTCAAAACATTTTCAATAAAAGAAGTTACAATATAAACTCGAGTATATACTGACCCCAATACCAGACGAGACATCTAATTTTACAAAAACTGCATTAAAAATGTGCTGAAGTGAAAAATGTGCCGAAGTGATCATGAGGAGCCGATGAGATCAGATACCAGGCATCAAAGAACAAAAAAAAACCATATCATTGTGAATGGGGGTAGTGCAGAGTGGAGACCCAAAGCCCATCTGTAGGCAACTGGACATCCCCTTACAGAAGGTTTGCAGGGAGAGATGAGCCAGTCAGGGTGCAGTATAGCAACGATAAAACATACAACTTTCCTCTAGTTCTTTAATGCTTCCTCTCCCCACTATCAAGATCCCAATTCTACCTTACAAATCAGGCTAGACCGGAGGATGTACACTGGTACAGATAAGAACTGGAAACACAGGGAATCCAGGACAGATGAACCCCTCAGGACCAATAATGAGAGTAGCGATATCAGGAGGGTAAGGGGAAGGTGGAGTAGGGGGATAGACAACAGAAAAGTGGGTGAAGGGAAATGTCAGAGAGTATAAGACATAACAAAATAACAATGATTTATAAATTATCAAGGGTTCGTGAGGTAGGAGAATCGGGGTGGGAAGGGGAAAATGAGGAGCTGATACCAAGGGCTCAAGTAGAAAAGAAATGTCTTGAGGATGATGATGGCAACAAATGTACAAATGTGCTTGACACAATGGATGAATGGATGGACTGTGATAAGAGATGTATGAGCCCCCAATAAAATGATTTCAAAAAGAAAAATAAAATAATGCGCTGAAAAATTCAGCTTAAGCACCAGTACATATGGTAGCATCTCTTTGTTTTAACTTTGTTGACATAAAATTGTTCCAGAAAACGGAACTGTTTTTAAATGGTGCGAGTGGTGTGGTGGTTACCGTGGGCGGCAGTTCTAATGAGGTACAGCACCCTACCTTCCACTCGAAATCCAGCTGTTTCATCGCCCGGTAAACTTCAGCCATGATGTCGTACGGCTTGCTTTGACTTCGAATCCCAAGATGCCACTTGGCTTTTTTCACAGCTAGAGATTTGGGTTTCGTGGTGTTCAGTGCATCCAGTGGGCACCGTGCTTTGGGACTGTCTGCTATAAGGGGCGGCATCCTTTCAGGATGAGGCTTCAGGCCTGGGGGGAGATGCATGGCACTGTCATCCATGAAGGAGCCAGTGGGAGGGCTAGAGGCGAGGTAGAATTCACTAGCTTGGTTCATGATTCTCCGATTGTCGATGATAAGATGATAAGCCACCGCAAGTTGGTCTTGAGGGTCACCGCTGTATAAACTGTTCATTACTTCTGATTCCGTGCACTCAAATTTTTCACACACTTCTTTGACAGCCTCGTCATCAATGACGCCAGCATCGTAGGAGGGGTCTTCTGGGAATAAGTAACTGGACAAATCTTGTTTGAACCATTCGTGCTCTCTAGGAAAAACAAACATGCTGCTGTAAGAACACGAGCAGGCAAGATCTAAACTGTTTAGACCACGGGCAATAAAGCTTAAGAGAACTGCAAAGACACTGACTCGCTCAGCTCTACCACTTACCAGCCATGTTTCTGCTGCCTCTGACTAAGCCAGACCGTAAGGCATTCCATGAAAATGTAAGACAATGCAACTCACCTTAATATTAGTTCTTATAAAAGATATCTAGATTAATATGCAATGGATTGATTATTTATTTTTAAATAATGTAAACATTCTTAATTTTAATTTCCAATATAGCAAATAATATACGCACACACCAAAAATAAAAACCCTACGGGGTCCTTAGTAACTTTAAAAAGTATAAATGGGTAATCAAGGGCAATGTAGCAGCGAGGAATTACTAAACCCAAATGAAGGCTGAATGTGATGGTGGGGCAAGAGGAAAGTAAAAGGAAATAGAGGAAAGAACCAGGAGGCAAAGGATATTTATAGAGGTCTACATACCAGCATGTGCATATGTAAATATATATATAACGAGAAGGGAATAGAACCATGTACTCATGTCTTTAGGTGAAGAATTAAGATTGCAGATGGACATTGGGCCTCGACTCAAGTACTCCCTCAACACAAGAACAATCCAGCATTCTGTGATGCTCACCTTCCTGACACAATCGCTGAAGACAAAATGGGTGCATAAGTATAAATGTGGCGAAGAAAGCTGATGGTGTCAGGCATCTGGGGTCTTAAAGGCTTGAAGATAACAAGCAGCCATCTAACTTAGAATCAACAAAGCCCACATGGAAGAAGCACACCAGCCTGTGTGATCATGAGGTGTTGACAGGATCAGGAACCAGGCATCTAAGACCCAGAACAAAATCATACCCAAGGTGAATTGGGGGGCAGGGGCATGGAGTGGAGACCCAATGCCCATCTGTAGACAATTGGACATCCCCTCACAGAGGCGTCACAGTGAAAAAATAAGAAACACACAACTTTCTTCTAGTTCTTTGGTGCTCCCCTCCGCCCCCACTATCATGACCTCAATTCTACCTTACAAATCGGATTAGACCAGAACATACACATTGTTACAGATAAGAGTCTGCAACACAGGGAATCCAGGATAGATAAATCCCCCAGGACCAACAATGAGAGTAGAGATATCAGGAAGAGTAAGTGAGGGTGGGGGGAGAAAGAGGGAATCGATCACAAAGATCAACCTATAACTCCCTCTCAGGGGTCGAACCACAGAAAAGTGGGTGAGGGGCCATGAAGGAAGATGAAAGATATGGAAAAAATAATCTATAACTTATCAAGGGTTCGTGAGAGAGGACGGGCGGGGAAGGGAGGGGGAAGGCATGGGGAGCTGATATCAGGGGCTCAAGTGGGAAGAGAATGCTTTGAAAATGACGATGGTGGCATATGTGCAAAAGTGCTTGACACACTGGATGAATGTATAGATTGTGATAAGAGATGTGTGAGCCCCCAATAAAAGTAAGAGGGAAAAAAAGAGTATAAATGGGTACTGACTGTTCTCTTATATCTTATTTTATTATACTCTTGGCCACTTTCACAAACTGTTAAAATTGCTACGTCACACTTGTTTGTGTGACAGTCTACATTCCTTCAGTCACTGAAGCACTGCCACGTGGCAGGCCTGGGAAGCCCTCAGTCAGCTTCATGCAAATGTACATTTACTTTCTACTCCCTGATGAACGCATCTATGTGCACTGTTACTTACGCAACATTTGCAGGCAGAGATACTTGTAACCTATAAAACATCGTTTATCAACGTTTAAGGATATTTGTTATGAGGACGGATTCTCGGAGGAGTTTTCATAGAAATCACGTTCCAGTCAGACGCAGAGAAGGCAAACAGAAATGAATAAAGTTACACCTACAGACTCTGCCGTCACACTGCGACTAGAAACCCCGGCACAGTGAGCACACGTAATGCAGGACACTCTAGGAAGGACGATGCGGGCAAGGAGGGAAGCCGGTCTGAGTGTGATCGCGCGGAGCCCCAGAATGACACGTTTGCCAAGCAAAGAGCCGGGGAACAAGCGCTCCCAGCAAAGGAAATGACATGTGCGAAGTCCCCGAGATAAGCAATAATGTGGTCCTGTTGAAGGATTGAGCAGAGCCCAATACCCTGGGAGCAGCCAAGTTCAGCGTGCGCGGGGCGAAGAAATCAGATGTCTCTCAGAGCGGCAGGCCAGCAGGGAAGAATGCGGTATTTTAACCGGCGGTTGATGAGGGCTAGCAAAGGGCAGGAATGACATGCTCAAACGTGCAGTTTGTAAAGTTAACTGTTTGCAGTGTAAAAATAACATGGAAAGATAAAAATAATCATGTGATGCTGATGCTACTGTGATACTGCAAGTGAACAGTATGCCAGATGCTAAGCGTACAAAGACAAACCCTCCACGCCTCTACTAGAAACTTCTGTTACGCAGCGGTTAGGTCTCCTTGTAATTGTCTAGTTTTCCTCATTCTTCTCCGCCCCACCGGAGCTCCTGGAAACAGGAACCGAGCCCCGACCGCCTTTCCTGCTGTAACAGGCCATCCAGTCGCAGGACCAGAGCAACACTAAGTGCTGAATGAGGAGGAGAAATCGGCACGGGGACTACGAAGACAAAAACTAATTCGTTCCGAGGCACTGATTTGCTGCAACATAATAAGAACTGAATAAACATTTACTGACCAAAACTAAGGTAAGATGAATAATTTTTCAAAAGAATAAACAGAAACAAGAAGTTATGTTAAAATGTCTAAGATTTTTTAAATGCCAAGGACAAAAATGGGGGAGATGAGCACTTTCAAAATTCCAAAAATCCACATGTCCACAAAGGCAATGTGAATATAAGCAAAAACTATAACAATAAACGTTTTTGAACTTCGGGCCTTAAGCAAAGGCGTGCAGTCATCTGAGGAATATTTACTTGAGAAAGTCATGTAAACCTTGGTTAGACCGGTGTGTTTTGCAACATTTTAACTCGCCGAATTCCTATGCCCCTTTCCCAATACGCAGCCAGTCCCAATCAACATGCGAACCAGCGGCCGCCTGCTCTGCCATGCTCTGACTTCCAGAGCAGAGCGGTTGTCTTTGTGGTCCCCACCCAACGACTAGATAACCCGGAATGCACTGACATCCAGCAGATGCCAACTCAGTGACCCTACAGGAGAGCAGAACTGTCCCTGGGGGGCAGTTTTTGAGACTTTCCATCTTTATGGGAATAAGACATCTTCCTTCCACACAACAGCAGGTGGGTTCAAACTGCTGACCTTGTGGTTAGCAGTTCAATGCATAGGACTATGCTAATGTGAAGTGGAAAAAGAAGAGGCCATCTACTCCTGGCAAGATTGAAAGTCCCGAAAACCCACCGGGACAGTTCTACTCTGTCCTATAGGGTCACTATGACGGCAGTGAACCTACTCGGGATGGCAGAGAATTTTGGTTTACTCGGTCATTTGGTGGGAGTTACACATGTAATGTGTTACTTTTCCAATAAGCCCCATAATCATGAGTGTGTTAGTCTGCGTAGACTAGAGAAACAAATTCAAAGACACTCATATGTATATAAGAAAGAGCTTTATATAAATAGTAGTTGTACATTAAGAAAGCCTCCCAGCCAAGTCCATGAGTCCGATATTAGCCCATATATCTGATACCAATCTCTAAAGTCCTCTTCAGACTCACGGAAAAACCTGCAATGATGCCAAAAGCAGGAAGACCCCAGGTCAGTGGGTGGTAAGTCTTGTGGATCCAGTGATGTTGTAAGCATCTCAGCGCTGGCAGGGGTCTCCACGTGGCTTCTCCAGCTCTGAGACTGGCTGCCATCAGCCTGTCTCCATGTGGCTTGTCAACTGCAATGAATCCCAGAAAGTGAGCCCATGTCCTGCCCCAAGCAAGCTATTTATCTCATTAGTGCCTCCAAATGAGGTCATCAAGCTGCCACCTGATTGACAGGCTAACCTCCACCCCTTCACTATTAATCCTCTCAAATTGACAACAGATTAGGTAACTACCACAATGAGTATTGTTTGTGCATTCTGTGTGCTCAATGCAATGAATTATGGACCTAACAGAGGCGTAGGAAGGGTTGTGGGAGGGGCAGTTGACGTCAGAATGGGTGAAAAGGTTGGGAGGATGGAGGTATGGCTGACCTCTGTTTCACAGGAATTGGCCAATGGCAGTGAGGTTTAACCGATTGATGACCTTGATTCTTTCTCCTTCCCCTGAAGTTAGAGAAGGTCAGTAGCCACACCCTTCCCATTGTGACACCTACCAAAGGCTGTGGGCTGAGTAGGTACAGAACCGGTCTGGAGTGCCTCTACAGCCCCAGGGCCAGAGAACTGTCCTCACTGGACCTGTGGAGCAATGCCCTGGAAACCTACCCACAGGGCGTGCCTGCTGTGACAGGACTCTACAAATACAGAGCGCTTGTGGAAAACAATCAACAACAGCTGCTTCATCTATTGCACCTACCCTGCAGCAGTAATGGCAGGTGGGGCAAAGAAGAAGTTGGCAAAATTGACAAGAAAAGTTAGGGAATAAGAGTTACACAAAGGGCTTTGACAATCTCTGGTAGAGTCCTGGAAATCAAAAAGGCCATCATGCTTGGTAACGTAGAGGGCAGTGAGAAAGAAGAAGGATGGACTGACACCAGGTCTGGAAGGCTAGGTTCAAGCCTACAAACAGTTGTGAAGAAGGCCAGGGAAAGGGCAATGTTTCTTTCTGTGGGGTCGTTACGGGCCAGAGCTGACTTGCCGGCACCCAGCAACAACATCAGATTTGCTAGGCTTCTGTGCAAGCCCAGGAAAGAACTGACAAGGTCCTGGTGTCTCTCCACTGGCTGACTTGATGCTCTGCACAAGTAGGAAGTGAAGCCGCAGGCACCGCTGCAAGCTGCTTGCTCAAGCAGTAAAGACAGACTCCAAACACAGAGCGCCTTGGCAGAGGCCAGGGGACTTATTACGGCATTTAAAGAAATCTCATTGGCTGATCGCGGAGCGAACCTGCCAGAGACTTCATTGGTCAGAGGAACAATGAGAACATATGGAAGTGGTTCGGGAAGATCCACTTAACAAAAAGCCAACAGCAGCAAACGCTAATCAGGGGAAAGTGGGCATCTGATTCCTAGCGTAGCCAAAACTTACTCTTTAAAACGCCCAGGTTCCAACAAATCATTAGGAGACATGAAAAGAAACAAAAAAGTAGGCATGTATGGGGTGACGTAAGGGGTGGGGGGAGGAACCATCGATGGAAATGGTCCTTGAGGAAGGCAAGATTTTGGATAACGTAGACACCAACGATAAACCAGACGTTCGTAAGTAAATTCAAAGAACTAAAAGAAACCACATCTAAAGAACCAAAAGAAAATATTTAAACAAGATCTCACCAAATAGACATGATCAGTGGAGATAAAGATGAGAAAAAGACTCAAAAACATCTAGCTTTCAAATAACTTACGTGAAAAAGTAACCTGAGGGGTTCACGCCCAGACCTGAGCTGCTGGAAGGCAGACTCACCAAGTCTGAAGACGGAGAGTCAGGGTCACGGAGTGTGAGAACAGAAGGCATGAGATGAACAAAACCCCATGGAAACCACCAGGTACACCAACATGAGCAGAACAAGGGGAAAACAGGTAGGCAGAGTATTTGAAGAAATATTGGCAGAAAACTTACCAAAATTTATGAAAAAATCTTTAATCTAATATAGACTACATACCAAAAGGACCACACCTAAACAGATCACAACAAAACTGTCAAAAGAGTAAAAAGAAAAGAAAGAAAAGTTCAAGCTTTGAGTAGTAATATTGAAGGATTCTATGTAACACAAAACAATGCAGATGAATCAAAAGAAGATAGAAGGAATACACATTCACTGTACTAAAAAGAATTTGTCAACATTTAACCATCTAAGAAGGCAGCACATGACCAATAACTGATGGTATTGGAGTTCTGAGTACTCCAAGTTTGAACTCAAACTACACTCAGCAGATTTGATCTAACAGATAAAATACAGGGAGTCTTTGCAGTTGGAACGGCAGGGCATTAGACAGAAACTCAAATCTACATGAAGAAATAAGCAGCCTAGGAAAAGGTAGCTATATATAAAATAGAGTAAAAATATAAAATACAGTCAAATGTATTGTTTTGTTTGTAATTCATTTTCTAACTTAAAAGACAATTACATAAAATCAAAAGTTATAAAACCATGGCAGGCTTATAAAAGATGCACTTTGTATAACATTCATGACACAATGGAAGAAGGAAGGGAATGCTACACTTGAGGAAAAGTAATTATAAACTCTTCGACTAAACTGCCATTAGCCTGAACTAGACTGTAATAAATTAAGAAGTTAACTGTAATCAGCCATTAAGAAGATAACTAAAAAATAAAATAAAATAGCGAAAGAAATGATAAAGGAATTACAACAGTATGTTAGGTAGTACCTGTAGGAGGTTTGGTGGTGTGGTGATTATGCCCTGGGCTCTAACCACAAGAACAGCAGTTCGACACCACCAGCTGCTACACAGGAGAAAGATGAGGCTGTCCATTCCCATAGAGAGTTATGGTCTCAGAAGCCCACAAGGGAAATTCTACCTTGTCCTGTATCGGTTCACTATGAGTTCAAATTGACTCAATGGCAGTGAGTTTCTGTTTTTTGAAATAATACTTGTATCACAAAAAAGAATCCAGTCGTTGGGGAATAGTAGAACAAAATGGTATAGGATATATTAAATAGCAAGATAGCATTCATACTTCCTACCTTATCACAGTAAGTATAGTAAACATAAGCAAATTAAACACATAAGCAAAAGTAAATTGGAAGAATGGGTTAAAAAAAAAGATTCAACCACACCAGCCTATGCAAACACGAGGTGTCGAAGGGATCAGGTATAAGGCATCATCAGAACAAAAAATCTTACCATAGTGAATGATGGGGGGAGTGCGGAGTGGAGATCCAAAGCCCATTAGTAGGCCACTGGAGATCCCCTTGCAGAGGGGTCTCGGGGAAGAGATGAGCCAGTCAGCATGCGATGTAACAACGATGAGAAATACAACTTTCCTCTAGTTCCTAAATGTTTCCTCCCCGCTCCCACTATCATGACTCAAATTCGATCTTGCAAGTCTGGCTAGACCAGAGGAGGTACACTGGTACAGATAGGAACTGAAAATACAGGGAATCCCAGGACAGATGAGCCCTATAGGACCAGTGGTGTGAGTGGCAAAACAGGGAGGGTAAAGGGAGAATGGGTAGGAAAGAGGGAACCGATTACATGGAACTGTGTGTGACCTCCTCCCTGGGGGACAGACAACCGAAAAGTGGGTGAAGGGAGACATCGGACAGGGCAAGATATGACAAAATACCCATTTATAAACTATCAAGGGCTCATGAGGGAGGGGGGAGCGGGGAGGGAAGGGAAAAATGAGGACCTGATGTCGGGAGTTTAAGTGGAGAGAAAATGTTTTGAGAAACGATGTACAAATGCGCTTCACACAATTGATGTGTGTATGGCTTGGGATAACAGTTGTATGAGCCCCTAATAAAATGTTAAAAAAAAAAAAAAGATCAACCAAATATCTCCTTCAAGAGACATGCTTTAAATTAAGCTTGAAGAAAATAAATGGCAAAGACATACCACACAAATAGTATTAAAAGGAGATAATAAAGGCTAAAATTGTTATTAAAGACAAAGGACATTTAATAATGTTACACTTTTAATAATGATGTAATCAATCCATAAAGAAGAAATAATAATTAATATCATCCAGGAAATATAGACTTACACAATATTATAAGCCAACTAGCCCAAACAGCTACCTATGGAACGGTTCACCCAACAAGAACAGAATACACGCTCTTCTCAAGCGTACATGAAACAGTCTTCAACATGAACTCATTCTGGTAAACTTTTATTTATATCGTTCATCTAAAGCCAAACAAATACACAGACATCTGCTCTAACGCAGCAGAACTAGTATTTTCACTAGTCTAAATGTATATGCTGAAAACAGGCAGTTGCAAGCAGAGTAGCATGTCGAATTTTCTTGCTAAGAGAAAGTGAACGAAGTGGACTATATTCTAAAGAATTAAGAACACAAGAGATTGTTCCTACGTTCATGTGCAGAACTAAGTCTGCTGCATAACTAAGCCCCTTTCACATGTGTATCTTCGTGGGAGGCATGTGCTGAGGATGAGCTGGGAGGAAGGAATGCACACGTGGCAAAGGCACTCGCTCAGAGAAGAGGTTAGCAGCAGGCACCCAGCAGCAACCTCAGCCATCACGTAACTATCCCAAGGATCAGCGTTCTCAGAATCGTAATTCTGGCTTAGGAGAGAGGGGCACAGATTCTGGAAGGTGGAAACACAAAAACATGTGGTTGTAAACCAACACCTGATGCAATGGGACACGAGGGTGAAAACATCTCTAAGCACCCTGACCTGCAGATGGCAAAGGACCAGCTAGACCGGGGTGTGCTCTAGAAAGGTCGTCCTCCCAGCAGCACCAGCACCTGCACTTGCCGGCATTTCTCACCTTACAAGAGGTCTTCCATTTAAACAAGGGCACTGGCAGCTCTCTTTGGAATAAAAAACTCAGCAAAACATCCATCTCACCCTTTTTTCATTTGATAATTATTATTTTTGTTAGAGAATTACTTTCTGTGGACAACACACACACACACACTCACGGTGCTTCAATAAGTTCATGGAAAAATTCCATTCTCTTTTAATTCCATTTTTGCAAACTTTTTGAATGAATAAGGAAAACCGAAGAAAAAGGGATGCCTTTGGATGATGTCATTGGTGAAGAAAGCTGGTTGGATTGCGAGAAGAACAACAAACGAATCTCTGTGGGAAGAAGTATAGCCTGAATGCTCCTTAGAAGCGAGGTTACTGGGACTTTGTGTCACATCCTTGGGAAATATTATCAGAAGAGACAGTCCCTGGAGAAGGCCCTCATGGCTGTAAAGTCGAGGTTCAGCGAAAAAGAGAAAGACCCTCAATGAGATGGGTTGACACTGCAGTGGCAACAATAGGCGGAAATGTAGTGTTTCGTTGTGTTTAGACAAGGTCGCTATGAATCCTACCAACAACACTGAAGTTGTCAAGGATTTTGTCTTGCTTAGGTCCTCAATCAATTCTCATGGAAGCAGCAGTCAAGAGATCAAATGTCGAAATATATTGGATAAGTCTGCTGCACAAGACCTCTTAAAGTGTGGGAAAGGGTGCTGCTTTAAGGGCTAAGGTGCACCTGTGGACCCAAGCCATGTATTTCCAATCAGCTCATATGCATGTGAAAATTGGACATTGAATAAGGAAGACCACAGAAGAATTGCTGCATTTGAATTATGGTGCTGGCAAAGAATACTCAAAGTCCCATGGACTGCCAAAAGAACCAACAAGTGTGCCTTGGAAAAAGTACAGCCAGAATTCTCCTCAGAGGCAAGAATGGGGAGACTTTGCCTCACAAACCTTTGGAAATGTTGTCAGGCGAGACCAGTCTCTGGAGAAGGACATCATGCCAGGTAGAGTGGAAGAGCGAAAGAAATAAGGAAGGAAGGAAGGAAGGAAGGAAGTCCTTGATAAGATGGACTGAGGCAGTGGCGGCAACAATGGGCGCAAACCGAAGCACAATTGTTAAGGACTGCGTGGTGTGTCTGTGGTTGGACGACTCGACAGCCTCTAAGAACAACATGCTGGAAGACCACAGGAGACTGCAGTAGAACTGACGATCTGGCCCAGGGACTTTAGGGGTGGACATAGGATATGAGACTTCTTCAGTAAGTAGTTTTCCTGTCACGGGCCTAGCACAGTAAATTCTAATCAACAACTGTAAGTATTTAAAAATGAATGACATGATCAGGCATTTGTAATAAGCAAGATGTGACAGTGTTTACTATAAAGCAATCAGTTATTATTAATACTGGAACCTGTGCGGTCATAAAATAGACAATCACCTTATGTCTTTGATGGTGGCTCGTTTCAGTGGGTCCACCTGCAGCATATGCATCAGGAGAGTGGCAATGGAACGATGGAGATACTCTGGGATATAAAAAACTCCCCCTCGGATCTTCTTAAATAATGTGGGTACGTGCTCATCATCAAACGGGAGGGTGCCGCAGAGAAGCGCATACAAAATAACACCGCAGCTCCAGATGTCCACCTCAGGGCCTGCGTACAATCTAAGCAGAGAGGAGACAAAGGCAAATCTCAAAGGCAGCGGCACCTTGGCTCGCCAATAAGGATCTTGCGTCTGTATATATGCACCGTATTGACTAGAATAGATGAGCTTCCAAGGTTCTTTACGAAGCACACGACCACTCTTCAAAGAGAATAATCAGTCTAATCAATTACTACTCATGTCTGACCAGAGAAAATGTGACTTTATTTATTTGTCCAAAATTCATTTAGCTGGAACTTACTCATTTATTTAAAAATATAAAAGTTCCTATGGTTGATTTTGATAGCAATATCATAGTAGATGACTGTAAACTTCAAAATATCATACCATACAGGTTAAATCATTTTACCATAAAATTATTACAGAGAGGAAGCACACATAAGATGGAATTCTTAGCTTTGACATGCCTATTTTACAGAGCATTTGAAACATAAAAGTACCCAAGCAGCCCTGTCACACATTCTTCGGCAGTCTTAGTCCACATTACCCCATAGACGCAATGCTGTCACTCGAAGTACTTTCTAGAACTTGCAACTAAGATTAGTTTTTTCAATACTCTGCTCCAGGTAGCCTATGCCTAGCACAACTCCCTTTCCATAACCCTTAAATTGTGCCTAAATGTCCTAAGCCACACAACTAAACTCAAAACTGAGTCTGAGGTAGCCAAGTAAAATCCATCAGTTACACTGCAAAGAATGCAGTATTTCTATAAAAGTTGATGTCCACCATTTACATCATTTGCTTTACTGCCCAGAATCCTAACTCTGCTCCTTACAGTAACCTTTTACTATCCTTCTCAAATAAATCTGCTAGCTTTTTAAACGAGACATTTGTCATTTTAGAAAGAGGTTTCCCACTATAATTTGTATCAACATCAAAATAAATGTAACACTTTCAAGTAAATTACATAAATCATTATACAATTGCCACATGTACACTTCAATTTCATGAAACATTATATGTACACAATGACACCAGCTCAAATCTTACAAATGCTTCCTCTCTTACCTGTATTCCCTAAAACGTAAGAGATGTTAAATCAAGATGTTTCAGAAAACTCCGTAAGTCCGCTCATCACAAAATCTAAATAAAATGCTATGAAGAGTGTCCAATATAGGCATTCTCCGCTCCTCCAACAGCAGAAAAACACAGAGACACAATTCTGTGTCAGCTATGTTAAAACTATTATTTTCCCAAAGAGTTTCTGTTCTACTGGGATGGATGACGGCAGCAGGGACTCAGGACGACAGAAAGTGAATCTCCCCTGCTGGTTGGTGGATCATTCATTACCTGCCTGAGATGACTTCCGGTGCTGCATAATTGGGAGACCCACAACTAGTTCGCAGAAATTCACCATCTGACATCATATTAGATAAGCCTGAAAAGAGAAGGAACATTTACCTGGTATCAGATTATTCTTTTAAACGGGGATGTGGATAAACGCACAGCTCAAATCTTTAAAGTTTCTCCATACATTGTTTTTCTTAGATTATGAAAAGTAAAAAGGCAGTTGACAACATGTGTTTGGCTGGAAAAGAGATTATGCAGAATGCATGCACAATGCCAAAGAGGCTGAAGCACACCACTTGTTCCACTGGAATCCAAGTCCCTTTCTAAATAAAAGTCTTTATTTATTCACTTCACACGAGGTTATTCTAAATGATATGAAATTTATCCCGCCAAAAATTAAAGCATCAAAATAGAATTTACTCACATCTACCACTAAAAAAGGAAAGCTGAGCCCCAGTCCCTTTGCATGCTACGCCTGCAGAGCCTTCTCAAACAGTCTTCAAATACCAAATCAAGCTCAATTTCTAAAGACTCTGCTCCAAGGTTTTCAATGTGAAAAGCTGTAATTCAACATAGAAAAAGATAATCCACTGAAATGAAATCTAACTGGATTGTAGTGTTGGGTGAGTCACAATTTGGAGAAGACAAGTAGGGAAATTAGAATCCTATTTTTTGATCAGGACAAGGTGTAGGCAAAAAATTTTTAAAAACAAGGGTAAGTTTTCACATCTTTCGGTTTCTATAATTTCTCACTTCCCAATCCTTTCCCCCAACAACCTCCTGTGACACTCATTTAAAGCACGGCTGCCTTAGAAATTGCTCCCAGCATAAAAGTCACATTTAACCCTTTCTTCTATGTCTGACAAAAATTCCTAATCTCTTACCAAGTTAAAGAGCCGGATGTTACTGAGACACGAAGGCATGGATTATAAAGTCGGAAAACTGCCTTCACATCTCCATTTTCATCTGTTTATCGACAGCCAAAGAAGCTACACTTGCATCTCCACAAAAGAAACTAACCCGTTAAGGATCATTTGTAAGGAATCTGATTGAACGGAGAGTTTGCTAATTTTTCTGGCAGGAGCTGCAATGTTTTCAGTGTGTTTAAAGGAAAAACAACAGTCCCGTGGTGCAGTTTGCTAACATAAAGGCCAGTGGTTCAAATCCACTTGGTACGACATGAAAGAAAGGCATGACAATCTGCTTCCACTCAGACTACAGCCCAGCTAAGAAAGCTCGAGCGCACTTCTGCTCTAACACAGGATTGCCATGAATCATATTCCGTCTATAGCAGTGGTATTTGGTTTTGTTTTTCAGTGTAAACTGTTGGAACAGAATGTTCTTAGTTCTCCAAAGATTGTTACTAGCACACTTTAAAAGGCACACGTTAGTACATTTCTAAACACCCCTGGTGATACGTACCGAAATCCGCTATCTTGGCATTCATGTGTGCGTCGAGGAGAACATTCTCTGGTTTTAGGTCTCGATGAACCACCATGTGCCTATGGCAGTAATCCACAGCAGACAGAATCTGCTGGAAGAGCCGCCTGGCTTCCATCTCTTCAACCTACCACGTATAAAAGAGACAGCATTAAGAATATGGGAGCTGTCGACATAGAAACACACCACACAGCCAACGACATTTTCTTGATGTCTAGGTTTTGTAGGCTCTTCCTGTGGTTAGGAAGGTCACTGATTCAGAAAAAAATGCATTGGGTAGATCGCATCAGCTCTAATTTCTTAGCTCTGCTGTTCCACTAGAGTTCCAGCGGTTCTCACCCATAGTACTCCCCTGGGATGGGGTAGCCTGGTCTTTCTCCTGCAGAAGGGCTGGCAGTGTTGACTGCTGGCTGGCAGTGAAGTTATACTAATTTATTAATTTAGCATGCTAATTTTAAGTAAGAGCAGAATGCGGACCCACAAATTACAGTATAAGCCTAAAAAGGTAATTTTCAAAGAAATATTTGAAAAAAAAAAGAATTAGGTATTGAAGGACTTCTGAGGGAAATTGTATATGGACCATGGTGGCTAGTTGGTTATGCATTGAGCTGTCAATCATAAGATCAATGGTTCAAGCCCACCAATCACTCTGCAGCTTTGAAATGTTTTAAACGTTTGGCAACCCAAAGGGGTAGCTCTTCTCTGTCCTATCAGGTCACTGTGAGTTAGAATTGATTAGATGGCAGTGGGTTTTTCTTTGGGGGCTGGGGTGCAGTATATACACAGACTGCATGTTGGATACTGTATAATCAGAATACAGCGTAGAACAGCGGAAAATTTTTTAAAAATTGAGAAAGCACATACACGGAAGGTGAGAGGGCAATTTAGAGTGCCAAAAGATAAGACTTCATAGCAATTTTCATAAATATTTTGAAGATCTAAATGTTTATTCTTCAAATTATACAGTAGATATTTCTTAACACATTTGAATATATAGAAGTCAATGATGGTTCATGTGAAATGTTTCCGAGGTAAGGCTGATGCCAAACTTCTTTATAACAAAAATTCTAATTTTTCTTTTCAGAGTTTCTGTGCACAGGTGAAGAAGTTGTGCCATCTTCTAACACGACTGGAACATTTTGATTTTAATAAAGGAGTTTGAACTTTGGAAGATCCATTTGGCATTTCAGGATATTTGAATGTCAACTTATTATACCAAACTCATTACCTCAGTTGATTACGACTCATAGTGACCCTCTAGGAGAGGGTGAAATGTCTCCTGTGGGTTCCGGAGGTGATACATCTGTATGGGAGCAGCAAGTCTGTTCTTTCTATTGCACAGCTGCTGGTGGGCTCGAATAGCAGACTTTGTGGCTAGCAGTCACACACATAACTCACTACGTCATCGGGACTCCTTATTTATTGTACAGTGACTCTGATTTATGGACCTTTTCAAGATAACAAATTAGAACTGGCTGCTATTCAGATCCTAATACAGGTGAAGTGATACTTGGGGGAAGTTCTTGTAATTTGTACTGTTCAAATATCTCTTTGGACCAACAGACACCATGTGAAGTATAACTCAACCAAAATCTTCAGTGCAACACAAACTACATAAATCCAGTGAGCCCTTTCTTTATCTCAGGCTAGCTAACACAGCATTGAAATATCCTGATTTTGTTCTGGGTGAGCCGAGTGAAGAGTGGCATACGGCATACGTTCTGTATCTCAAAAATGAGAGCTGAAAGGGGAAAACTGGTACCTTTTTTTTTAACCAGCAGGTCAAATACACCCAGAAACAAGTCTTATAATTGAGGCCCCAAAATGTGTTTGGCCAGAATAATCAGCCTAAATAGAATTGAGTAAGCTCATTAGAAGTATGTGGAATTCTACCCCAAACCACTCTGCAGAGTATCTGGTCGGACTGAGCCACACAGATCCGCTCCAGCCACAGGCAAGTCTCCAACAGCCTTACTATGAGACAGAGACCACGGTCGTCCTGACCATGCTGGACTGAACTCCATACTTGGCCAGTTGACCACCCTGCAGACGCGACCTGACTCTGTTCTGGGTGCAAGTGTCTCTTACTGGTTCCATGACAGAAATTTCTTCCCTGGCCTTTTGAATGTTGTCGAGGGTCTTTTCCTTCTTAAGCATTATTTGTATTTTTGACTGTATACGTTTATGATTTTATCCTTACCACCTTAGTGCAATTTTGTTTGTTACTGTTTTCTGTTGGGTCTGCCAGCTGTGAAGCACAGGAGGCGTGGATACAGACTGAAAATAACTGATACAAGGGCATACAGGGAAAGCAGGGCTGAGGGGGTACTTGATAGGGAGGGAAAGGGGGTTTCTGGGGTAAATAACGAAGATGCGGCGGGGTGGGGGGGGAGCACTGGAATGATTGTGATTGCATAAGCTCATCTTACAGGCAATTTAACCATGGGGTGGGGGCAGCGGGTGCTCTAAGATTGCTGTGGGGGTGATCGTACAATCCTCCTCGATATGAGTAGATTAAAGGAGTGAATCATGTGAAAGGTAAGTTACTTGCCAATAAAATTATTGAAAGAAAAGACGTATGGAATTCTGTTAGAATCTCAGTAAAACAAACATAAAAATTTGTGTCAAAGTTTAACATGTTAATTGAGTTTTACTTTGCTGCTACCATTTAATATTCAATTCATGTTTACTAAGGGAACACAATGTTTAATTAACAGTAAATCATAATCAGAAACAAAGTCTGTATGGGTGGTAAGAAAAGGAAGTAACTTCAACAAGATCAAATGAAATGTTTTTCATTTTGAGAACCATGCTATCCTATTGGCAATTAATGGGAAAAATGTTCTAAAATCAGTTATTTTTTAAAGTAAATTTATTAATTTATTTGGTGAATGTTTACAGGGCAAATATGTCTAAACTTCTGTGTTTAGTTGAAGTGCTTAAAGAAGCAACCCCAATTTGAAGATGTATTTGTGGTTTGCTGTTTCCCAACATTCCCCCCACCTAAGCTTTAGTGCATGAGATGATGGGTTACTTTCCCATCCATGTTTACAGATGCAGTCAAACAATTCACCGCCAGATACAAATTCCATTACTTACCCGCCCATGTTTACAGATGCAGTCAAATAATTCACTGCCAGATACATATTCCATTACTTACCCGTCCATGTTTACAGATGTAGTCAAATAATTCACCGCCAGATACATATTCCATTACCATAAAAAAGTCCGTTGGTGTGCTGATCACCTGGTATCTGTTTTTGGTAAATGAAAAAAGAATGAAACTATCACATTAGCCAAAATCAACCTAGTGTATCTAATCTCCCTATTATTTTGATAGTTTTATAGTATTTTGAGAGATACTATTTTGCAATTACATATTTTCACAATATTTTGAGGAGGAACCAAGTTATATGTGATCAAAGCCAGGACCATGAACTCAGAGTGCTACAAACTCCATCTGCGTCCTGCGGCTCCTGGTCTTTCCTCTAGCTCTTCATGGTCACCCGATCTTGAAACTTCTTCCTCAACAACTAAAATGGGCATTCCTTTTCCATTTAAATAAAAATGTGTTGACAGTCTAAAAAGGTGAATGTTTAAATGAAAATAAAAACAATCTAAGGCATATTACATGATTCCACAGGTGTACAATCACAACTGCAAAATTCAGAAAGTAGACAAGTAATCCTTTCTTCACAAGAAGAAAGGGAAGGTGGGAAGGAAGCTATAGATTAAATATTAGAGATATATCACCCAATTGTTATATAGATGTCTGACTCTGAGTCAGATAAGCCATTTATGAAATTATCTAGAAAGTTTGAATACTGACTAGATGCTTGATAGTAGTATTTTATTTTTCAATTATGATAAGCTATTCTGCTTATGTTATTTAAAAGAAAAAGGAGTCCTTATTTTTCCGAGTATACACTAAAAAGTTATAAATTAAAGACATATTTAGGATTTTCTTGAAAATGATCAGATGGGAGGAAAAAAGGAAACTCACTAAAACAGCATGTGAATAACTGGTGGTCCTGAGTGTCAAATACTGGGTACCTGGTTATTTTGTATATTGTACATTATTTTTTATGTTGTATATTATTTTTGTATATAGGTATATAATAATTGTATAATGTTTTCTCTTATACTTATATATTTTAACAGAATATATTAAAACAATAACAATAAAGAACATTAGTTTTTTAAAACAAAATAATATCTTTCCTAAAAAGTGACAACTCCTCTCCATTACAACAATTTTACCAAATCAAATTCAATATAATTCTAAGATTTTAACTGAAGATTACATATAACACTTACATAAAAGAACAATTTTTCTACTTTTCCAAACTGATCTATTTCCTTGCTTATCAAAAATTTTGTGTGGCCTAGATGAGTACGCGCAGTATCTATCTACCTACCTTGTCGTGTATCTTGTCGTGTGAGTATCTATCTACCTTGTCGTGAGAGCCGCTGTTGGGAGCCCTTAAGAGCTCGGTGTGCTACAGATAGGAACTGAAAATACAGGGAATCCAGGAAGGATGAGCCCTATAGGACCAGTGGTGTGAGTGGCAAAACAGGGAGGGTAA